TCCGATTATGTAATCCGTTTTTTCTTTTGAAAACCCATTTTCAAGATTTGATCCAATCCCTTATCCAAAATCCAGGATTTATCCTTGGATTTAGCGTGGATTTCATGCCTAAAATGTAATGAAAACTTTAAAAAATTATTCAATAAAACCTATCTTACGAGATATACTATTTATTTATAAGGTTTTAATTTTATTTGTTCATCTGTCAGGCTATAGTGATTATAGGCTTTAACGTATTTAGCCTTTCAGTATAGGCCTACAGCAAAATAGAAAGAGTTTGGCCTCATAAAATAATCCCCCAAACAGCTGTCAAAATTCAGTTCAGGCCCAGTTATGAGTTATTAACTTGGCTGAGACTTGGCCCAGATATGGTCCGTGTCTGGCCCTTGTCTGGAAGCCAGATTTGGTCCAGTCATGTATTGTAATTCACTGCGGCATGTGGGCCAAGCAAAACCTGATTATGTGGGCCAGAGCTGGGCCTGAGAAATTCTGCTATGTGGGCTGTTTCAGTTGACTTTTTTTCCACCATCCCTCCACCTCCCCATCTTTTCCTCTGTTTTCTCAAAAAGGGGGAGGGGCTTAAAAAATGGGAGGGGGGGGGGGGGGGGTGTTTCATACTTGTAGCTCCTTCCAGGATGGGAGGTTCAAGCTCTCTTAGGGGTTTGATAGCTCGGGCCCCCACTTAGCAAAGCTAAAATTGTTTACCATGTTGATGCAGTTAAATGAGCAGGTGAACTTGTGAAACATAATTAAACCAACTAAGAAGGATCTGAAGAAACACTTGGTAATTAAAGACTAATGCGTTTGATCAAGGTTGCAGCTGAACTCCTCAGTAAGGTAGATCTCCAGGAGCAGGGTTGGACACCCCTGATCTTTGTTTTAATAAAACTAAATGATCTGAATTCAGTGTTTTACCTTTTTTGCAGTCTTGCTGGCTGTGATCTCTTTGCTCCGGATTGTGAAATTGTATCATCAGTTCTTCAATCTACAAACTGTGTCCTAAGAGAGCTGGACCTGAGTAACAATGACCTGCAGGATTCAGGAGTGAAGCTGCTCTCTGATGGACTAAAGAGTCAAAACTGTCAGCTGGAGATACTGAGGTTTGACTTTCTCGTTAAATCATGGTTATTTAAACATCAAGATTCTTTACTTGCTCTAAAATTGCATCCCTGCCGGTGTCCTTAGGTTGTCTGGCTGTATGGTGACAGAGGAAGGCTGTGGTTTTGTCTCTTCAGCGCTGAGTTCAAACCCCTCACACCTGAGAGAGCTGGATCTGAGCTACAATCACCCAGGACCATCAGGAGTCCAGCTGCTCAAACATAAGCTGGAGAATCCCCGCTATAAACTGCAGAAACTCAAGTATGTGGGGCAATATGAGCATTATTTGTCCAGTTGGGATGAAAACCACTGCTATAGATAACCTTAATGATCAGTTATACTAAAAATAAAGATTTAAAATTTTAATCATCTTTCAAAAAAACATTTATATTTATACAACTGTTTAACCATTTTATTGCACATTAGATTTCAGTTCAATTAACAGCCTCTGTTTTTGTTTTATTTAGTTTGGACCATGGAGGACATTTCAGGATCACATCTGGACTGAGAAAATGTATGTTCACACAGACGCACACACATGCATATTTAAAGGGCCTTTAAACCACCCTGTCTCAGCAGGGTGTTTTCACACCTCTAGTTTGAAAAAAGTCAGCTTAAGCCTAGTTCACACTAGAGGCTTTTAAGCCTGATTCGAGCCCGATTTGGAAGTTAACGAGCTTGCCGACAGATGTGGCTGTGATCGGGAAGAAATCTGCGGGTGCACGGCGCTCGCCGCTCTTTATGTGTGAACTACTGAACAACGCATCAACGAGGCTCGCTCACGCGTCGCCGACACCTCGCAGACGGAAATCCAACATTTAGCATGCTAAATATTCCAGAGCAGTCAGCCGACTCAACACTGATGACCCATGTCTCTAAACAATTCTTCTTCTTCCACTTGTTTTAATTACGGTTGGCAACACAACGTGGCGTCTCTCTGCCGTCTGAACACTGTAACAGTGTTATTGAAGCTGCACCTCATTCACTATAAAGCACGCTGATTGGTTCGAACCAAGTCTTTCTCATGAATTAGAGCTGAAAAATCAAAGACGTCACATTGAACCGGCCAGTACAGACATCTAGTGTCCACACTGGAATTTACTAGTGATGGGTCGTACATGAACAATTCGTTCTTTTTGAACGAATCTTCAATATTAATATGTGCGCACATTTGTGCAGGCAGTATCGTTAATTTCAAGTCTTCATCACATTGGCAGAAGCCAATCATATGTGTTTAGAGCCGGAAAAAGAATTGATCCGCTCACCTCTCGAGTCCTCGATCGGGTATGAGTCACTCGTTCATCACGAGCCAATCATACGCGTTTAGAGCCGGAAAAAGAATTGATCCGTTCATCTCTCGAGTCCTCGATCGGGTCTGAGTCACTCGTTCCTCACGAGCCAATCATATACGTTTAGAGCTGGAAAAAGAATTGAACCATTCATCTCTCGAGTTCTCGGGTTTGAGTCATTCTGTCACGTGATGCACGAACGATCATGGTTCCTATTGGCTTAGACTGTGCATTGATTAAGATTATATGTGACTGTCAGTGTAACGTGAATGAACCCCTGACATTTGAAGACATGAAGAGGTGAGCTGAGCAAAGAGACACCAATACCTACATAGACAAAAGAGCAAGTAAACATTAAATTATTATTTTCACCTTGTTATATTCTACTTATGACTTATTTGTCGTGCAATCGACCTTTTGGGCTAGTTGTAGATGTGTTTGGAAGCAGTTCGTAACATTTTAATAATATTTTGGCAAATTGAACCAAATGAACGAAATGACTCGAAAAAAGATTCGTTCATCTTGATGAACGAGACTTAAAGATCAGAGTCAGTAAAATGATCCGAACTTCCCATCACTTGAATTTACACAATGATTTCATGGCTGTGACGCAGCTTCTAAATGTATTTTCAAACTGGAAAGACTGGAATATATCAAACTAGAATGTATTTTCAACAAGTTTGCTCGCAAAAACATCAATTTTTCAGTTTTTAGTAAAATATATGTGTCCTAATAGTGTTTCAAGCAAAGTAAGACATGTCTGTCAACATCTCAAAAAATGCATTTTGGTGTTTTGCGACCCTTTATTAAAAGGATGATGTTATCTGTGTTCTTATGTACAGATGCCTGTGATCTCACACTGGATCCAAACACGGCACACAATCAACTGGTATTGTCTGAGGAGAACAGAAAGGCAACAAATGTGAAAGATTCCCAGCCGTACCCCGATCATCCAGAGAGATTTGAGCAACAGGAGCAGGTTCTATGTAAACAGACTCTGACTGGACGCTGTTACTGGGAGGTGAAATGCAGCGGCTCATGTCAAGTAGGAGTGGTTTACAGAGGAATCAACAGGAAAACTGGAAGTAACTGTCGGTTCGGACGCAATGAAAACTCCTGGACTCTGTACTGCTATGATGAGGTGTACACAGTCTGGCACAATAATAAGAGCACAGAAATCATTGCTCCTTCAGCTCGTACTAATAGAGTAGGAGTGTATGTGGACGTGTCCTCCGGCTCTCTGACCTTCTACAGCGTCTCCGACACACTCACACACATACACACATTCAACACCGCATTCACTGAAGAACTCTATGTTGGATTTAGCGTTTATCCTGAATCTTCAGTGTCTCTTTTTGAGATATAACGCCACTGAAATGTAGTTATTGTCTTCAACGTTCAGCCGCACCACTTGAGACTGTTTATGAGCACTTATTCTCACATACAGCAGTAACTGTGATGAGTATAGAAATCAAGCGTTATCCGTTAGTTCACCCTACTGAATAAAACAGCTTAAACCAGTCTAGGCTGGTTTAAGCTGGATTTTTCAGCAGGGCAGGCAGCCTCGTAGACAAGCTCTGCTTTCAGATGCCCCACCTTGCCCCATCAGCTAATCCAAGGCTGTTTCTTAATTCCAAGAATGCAGAGAACGGACTTGCATTCTTGTAAAGACCGGTCTTTGCCTGGTCACTACTCATTTAGGGAAACTCCTGAGTTGAATAAGTTATCTCTCTTTTTTTTATTTTTTTTTTTAAGATTTATTTTTGGCCTAGGATAGGACAGTATTGAGACATGAAGCTAAGTGGGAGAGAGAGAGGGGGTAGGGTAGGGAAATGTCGTCGAGCTGGGATTCGAACTCGCAACGCCCTGACGTGCTATTGCACCATATGTCGGCGTGCTAAATAAGTTATCTCTTAACTTTATTTATACATTTATATAAAATGCTGAGCTTCCCACCTCCAGTCACAATGACTTATGGGACTTCTAGAGCAAGTTCGGTCAAAGACTACTGACCTTATTCTCCGCAGACGAGCGGGCGCTGCCATTTGAATCTTTTTGGCACGAGACTTCCGGTCTCATTCACTTCCATTAATTTTTAGGCATTAAAAATTGTTGTTTCGCTGTTTGATGTTGTAAACTGATATTTCCTTGTTATATTATTCTACTTGGTCTGTATAGTCATGCAAACATTTGTTTGTAGAGCAAGTAGTTTGACCGTTTTTTGCCGTTTATTATTCCTTGTCATTTCTCCCATAGGCGACTGAAACGGAAGTTCTAAGACAATCGCGAAAACAGGCGCACTTCCGCATTTTAGAATAAGGTCAATTGAATGCATAAGACATGTCACTCATGTACATTTGAATAGGGAAAAGTGTAACGATCAGTAGGGCGAATGAAGCCCCGCCTTTTAGTACAGGAGCCAATCAGCGAAGCTATATGGCAAATAAAGCCCACCTTCTAGTACATGAGACAATCAGCCATCGCTACAGAATGACAATGCTTCGGGGGAAGGGCTCGAACCAGTCGTGAGTTTCTGCAGATTTTGTGTGATATGAGCATTTAGCAATGAAACTAAATAGACAGTTACTGTTTTATGTTATTGGTTATTCGTAATATGTAATGTAATCGTAAGCTCGGCCAGTAGTTTGGGAGAGATTTATGTTTCCCCATTCAAACAGAATGCCCAAGCATACTTCCCGAGAGGCGTTTTAAAGATGGCCACAGAGTGAAATGACCTGCCTTAAAGGGACTTTGGTTCGGTGCGCAAGTCTGCATCAATACATCCTCGATACCAAGAACACATCTGGGAACTTTCACGCGTCCTCCGTTCTTGCAGTCTTAAGTTTTGGAACTGAACTTTGTCAGTTGATAATGACGTTGCACGTGAACACGAGGACGCAAGATCCTGCAAACAGCCCAATTTTCATGAACTCGATTGGCAAACACTTTATAACCCAGCCCCATCAGCTGATTCCAACACTATTTTGACCCTTACCCCAGGGATCCTCAACCCAATTCCTGGAAGTTTCCTTTTCTCCAGAGTTCAACCATGATATAACACACCTGAAGCAATTAATTAGGACCTGAACTCACTTGATGATTGCAGGCAGGTGTGTTTAATATGGGTTTCAGCTGAAATCTGCTGGAAGGTACAGTTGAAGTCAGAATTATTAGCCCCCTGAATTATTAGCCCCCCTGTTTATTTTTTATTTTTTCCCAATTTCTGTTTTTAACTGAAAGGAAATTATCAACACATTTCTAAACAAAATAGTTTTAATAACTCGTTTCTAATAACTGATTTAATTTTTCTTTGCTATGATGACTGTAAATAATATTTGACTAGATATTTTTCAAGACACTTCTATACAGCTTAAAGTGACATTTAAAGGCTTAACTAGGTTAGTTAGGTTAGCTAGGCAGATTAGGATAATTAGGCAAGTTATTGTATAACGATGGTTTGTTCTGTAGACTATCAAAAAAATATAGCTTAAAGGGGCTTATAATTTTGTCCCTAAAATGGTGTTTAAAAAATGTAAAACTGCTTTTATTCTGGCCGAAAAAAAATAAATAAGACTTTCGCCAGAAGAAAAAAATATTATCAGACATACTGTGAACATTCCCTTACTCTGTTAAACATCATTTGGGAAATATTTTAAAAAGAATAATGAAATCAAAGGGGGACTAATAATTCTGACTTCAACTGTAGATCTCCAGGAACTGTGTTGAGCACCCCTTCCCTACACCCTTCCTCCCTTCACAGCTGCCACTTTGGAGGATAAACCCTTTGAAGGGATTAGGGGATAGGGATGAGCCCTTCCGAATGAAACGCAGTGCAAGATTACAATGAACCGGAAATATCCTGCACTTTTATCTACGTCCACTTGGAGGCAGGCTCACGCTGCACTAAACCCATCACTGGCAGTGGATCACAACTGGTTTCTCAGCCAAGGACGCAGATCAACTGTGACTCAGGCCAGTAATCATGACTGTTGATCTTAATGTCAACAATAAAAACATGTCTAAATATTTAAAATAAGTTATTTAAATTAAAAGATATAAAATATGAAGAACCAATGCATTAAAATAAATTATTGATAATTTATGAAGGCCTAAATTTTGGAAATTGAGCGAAGCAGTGGCGCAGTAGGTAGTGCTGTCGCCTCATATCAAGAAGGTCGCTGGGTCGCTTGTTTGAACCTCAGCTCAGTTGGCGTTTCTGTGTGGAGTTTGCATGTTCTCCCTGCGTTCGTGTGGGCTTCCTCTGGGTGCTCTAGTTTCCCCCACAGTCCAAAGACATGCGGAACAGGTGAATTGGGTAGGCTAAATTGTTCGTAGTGTATGTGTGTGTGTGTATATGCGGATGTTTCCCAGAGTCGGGTTGCGGCTGGAAGGGCATCTAAAAATGTGCTGGAAAAGTTGGTGGTTCATTCCGCTGTGGCAACCCCAAATTAATAAAGGGACTAAGCCGACAAGAAAATGAATGAATGAATGAATAAATTTTGAAAATACATGAACTCAATGACACCATATTGATTTATGAGAAGAACCCATGACCCATGTATTGTGATGATCCATCTTTAACTTGTTAACACACAATGCACTTCAATAGAGCAAAGGAGAAACAGCATCCTTGAACCAATCCTAACCAAAAAAAAAATAAATAAATAGATTTGTCTGATCATGGCGGCTCTCAGGGATCATTTCACTCAGCCCGGAGCTCCTGTCACGGATCTCAATAAGACGACAGACAGAAATAGACAGAGCAAGCCAGCGAGACGAACATGACGGTGTCCTAAGAATGCTTTGCCGACAATCTTAATTCATTCGAGAAGATTATTTCTGAATGTTTTCTGAAACATACAAGTGTTCAGCTTTTTAAAAAAAATGTATTGTGGTGATACAAGAACATGCGAATGAAAAAACACTAACAAACTGAGAAAGCATCATCAATTTAACACGCAGATTCTCACAGAACAATCAAGAATTTCCTTTCTGGAAATAGTGCAAATCACAGTAGAATGGGTCTGGGAACCCCAAAAGGTGACAAACCCAACTCTATCTGTTTTGAAACAATGTTGTTGTTGGTGACCTGAGTGCGTCTGAGTGCTCTGATTGGCTGGGGTGGACATCTCACGATTTGAATGCGCTCTTTCCGGCAATCTTCCTTCTGTGTTCACACAATGCAGCATTCTGGCAAATTACCGGTAATGTTTCAACTTCCGGCACGAATTTACGGATATTTACAAAAAGGGCCTGTTCACTAATTATAATTTTCCAGAAAGGTTTGCATGTGGGAAAGGGGCTAAAGTAACTAACTAACTAACCAACTAACTAGCTAGCTAACTAACTAACTAACTAACATGTTAACTGACACTTGCAACAGGTTTTGCACCAGATACTTGGCTAGGATTACTTTAAATCTCCAAAAAGTAAAAACCTTAAAAAAATCTTAATAAAAAAAAATGTGCATTTATTAAGTGTGCTTCACACAGGTGAGTGGGCTTGACAAACCACCTGTAGAAACACTCTTCTTCCTTTCTCTCTCTCTCTTAACTCTAGCACTTAATTACACTACAGACAATTTACCTTATTCAACTCACCTACAGCACATGCCCTGGCTAAATTAAAAAACTAAATTGTCTCTATTGTATGAGTGTGAATGTGAGAGTGTATGGGTGTTTCCCTGGCTTCCAGCTGTGTAAAAAATATGCTGTACTAGTTGGTGGTTTATTCTGCTGTGGCAACCCCTGATATATAAATGACTAGCCAAAAGAAAATCAATGAATAAATGAATGACTCTTAATTTCTGATATTAATTAAATTTTTTTTTTTTTTTGGTTGCCATAATTGTGTTTTAATAAAATAAAAAAAAACAATGTAGTAACGTTCGTTGTTGTGTGGGAAGAAGAAGACAGGGTCGGCGACATCAGGTAAGCAATATATTTTATTATATTTATGCACACCACTTGCAGGCTGTGTCTGTGTGTGTGTGAGCTCTCTCTTCTCCCGACTGCTCCTCCTGTTCTCCTTAAAGGGTCATGAAACACCAAAACACATTTTTTTGAGCTGTTGACAGTCGTATATGTGTCCCACACTGCTAAAAACACTATTAGGACACCTATATTTCATTAAAAAGTGTAAATTGGTTGTTTTTGCGTTATTTCAAGCAAATTCGTACTTCTTGTTTAAAATTAATTTTTGGAGCTGCGTCACGGTCATGACATAATAGCGTGTATTCCAGCGTGCAGACTGGGCGTCTGTGCCAGAGTGTGTCTTATTACGTCTTACAGTGTGTTGCATTAATGCATGAGTAAGGCTTGGTTCAAACCAATCAGCGCGCTCTATTGTGCAACTTCATTAATATTCATTACTGTCACAGTGTTTAGACGACAGAGACGCCACGTTGTGTTGGCAAAACAAGCGTGAAGTGTTGCTTTTATAGTTTGCTGCAGTTAAGTTTTGTTTTCTTTTTCTCTCTGTGAGAGCTCAGACTCACGTGTGGATTAACAGTGTACG